TGTGTGTGTGTGTGTGTGTGTGTGTGTGTGTGTGTGTGTGTGTGTGTGTGTGTTTCCGTGTGAGTTCATGTATCCTAGTAAGTTTACTCAGGGACAGGAAGTGAAGGGTTAATTATAGTAGCATAGACAACTTACCAATAGTTACAACACCAAAAAATAAATAAATAAAATGTTTCTCCTTCCCCCAGCAACCACTTATTGCCTGTAGATCCTTAGGGATAGGTAGGGACTTGCGTAAGCCTCTCCTCACTCCATGACAGACAGTTGATGGGCTTGATTTTATATAGGTCTTGTTCTGTTGATCATAGCTACTGAGAATTCAAGAGTGCAGTGGCCATGTAGTGCTTAAAATACTTTTAGGAGTCAGTCATTCTTTCCTCCTAGATTCTTTCTGTCCACTCTTCAGTGATGTTCCCTGAACCTCAAGGGAGGTATTCTAGATAGCCCATTTAAGGCCGAGCACCTATTCTAAGGTGACTAAGTCACCTATTCTCAGCACTGTGAGCCTCTGTAGTGGCTGCCACCCACTGTAAAGAGAAGCTTCTCTGACCAGAGCCAACAGCATCACCAGTCTCTGGACAGAGTATTTAGAAGATCATTTGATAGGCTTATCTGTTTAGCAAATCAGCAGCAGGACTTCCCCACTACACCGCCACCCTTCCCCTAGCCGTGGGGTTTGGCCGGGTTTATAGTGTCAGATGAGAATCCCCTCCTGTGAAGCGGGCCTCAGACCCCCAACAGCCTGACAAGTCAGTAGTACAGGACACAGGGTTGCAGCTGAAGAAATTCTTTTTGTTCGTTTGGTTTTTGGGTTTTGTTTGTTTGTTTTGTTTTGTTTTGTTTTTAAGACAGGGTTTCTCTGTGTAGTTTTGGTTCCTGTCCTGAATCTCACTTTATAGACCAGGCTGGCCTCGAACTCACAGAGATCCACCTGGCTCTACTTCCCGAGTGCTTAAAGGCGTGTGCCACCACCACCCGGCTCTGAGTAAACTCTTAATGGCAATTCTGCACTAACAGCCTGCATTACACCTTCTAACATTGTGAAGGCTAACTAGCAGGGAGAAAATTTCTAGACCAGAGCACATGATGTCTTCAGCAGTAGGGTCTTCCCATCTAGTTCTAGTGAGCAACCAACAGTAATGACAGTAACCTCTAATAATAATAGATTTATTATTTTATTATTATTATTATTATTATTAATTATTAATTATTAATAATGCAGCTAGTTACAACCTCCATTCTGACTATTCCTTTCAGGTCAGACTCATCAGACTAAGCAACATAATGATTCTAGTTGAGTCTGAGAAATCTATAATTGTGTTGGGGGTCACAGGTTTTATATGCTGTAGTATAAACTATGTGGCAGTATACTAATGGTGCCTATCATGAGTTCTTTCCATGGCTTCCCTCTTGTTTTGTTAACTGTGCTTCTTGTGAAAATTATTCCTATACTCACCTGTCTAGAAAGTCTGAATTTATTAAATTAAGTCAGAATGTTGATTGCCTTTTTAACCGAATGAGCTTGAAGAATGGAAGCAGGCCTTTAGAATACTAGATGGTCATCGTCTAATAAATCTCATATCCATTACTTTTTTTCGTAAAGACTATTGAAGATGTGTGAAAGTCGGAATCTTAGTGTTGACTTTGTTGAATTCTGCAGGAGAATCTGCACTACTATGTGGACAAAGTATTCAATACAATTGTAGGATCAAGTGTGAGCTGCCCCACTGTGATGTGTGATATCTTTTATTCTCTGAGGCAAATGGCTACTAAGAGATTTCCCAGTAAGTGCCTTGATAATACTCAGTCATGCCATTTCTTTTTCTATATTTTTTCCCACATGGTGTTCATTTGGTTTCTATGAAATGTTTGTGCATAGGTCCAGTCTTCTAGAAGTTTTTCAAAATGATGCTAGCTTCTTGGTGAGACTTTATGGTTTATTTTTCCTATAATTTCAGAACATGCAATCCATTTTATTTCAGTATAATGGCAACTTTAAAGTGCAAATCAAAATCATTAGTTATAAGAAGGAAAAGTTTGGATCTATAAGATTTTCTGTAATATAAGTAAGCCTTTATGTGCTATATATTTAAGAGCCTGTAGAGTACACAGGAGTACCTTTGTTGTACCGGCTGTTTTCTCATTTGCCTATATTCAAACAGTAGTAATCATTAGTTTCATACAGTTGACTAGATTTGACAGCTTGGGAATGCTGGAGAGATGTTTTTATCAAAAATAGTCTTTGGTTTTACAAACACTTGTCCCAACATACATAAGATTTTGAGATATATATATCAAGAAATCATTGTGCTTAATTTTGCAAAATCAGCTATATTAAGATTTTTCTTGGAAAGAATTTATAAAGTTATGAATTAATTCCTTTTATTGTTAGTACTTAGTTCATTTCTGTTACATAAATAAATTTGCCAAAGCCCATTGCAGATTTGCCCATAACATAGGGGGAGGCATAGGTAGGGCAGCTACTTGTTAATAATCAGGTTTATCTGCATAAAACTATAAATTAACTTTTTTAGCCATCCAAAGAGATTTTGTTATTATGTTTACATGTATCTGTCCCTGTGTTTAATTTACCCAATATTAAAATAGGCTGAGTTGTCTAACTTATACATGAATTCAGGTTTAGGTCTCTTGGCTAGTTATAATAAAGATACAAAACATTTAGCTTTAATTAAATATCTTTAACCTTCATAATCAATCGAGGAGGCAGAGACTTGATTCTGCATACATAAAGATGAAGTGCTGATTGGATTCTATCTTCAAGTAGTGAGCTAGATCATAACCATATTACCTGCTTGCTAGCCTGTCCTGTCTCTTACTCCTTACACTGTTTGAGGCCATGCCCATTGATTAGATGGTGAAACTGAGGTCTCATTTGTTCTTACTACCTGGAGTATAGATAGCGGGGCACGCGGTCGAACAGTGGACAGCGTGGTGGTGTTCCCTGCTGAGTGATTTGTAAGAGCTAAAACTCACATCAAATCGAGAAACTCTTTCACTCACCACCCACTTCTCTAGCATCTGGTTGTCAGGTTAGTTGCTGACTCCAGTCTGAAACAAGTCCTGAAGATGAGTGATCAGTGCTACAAGTAGCCTGCAGTTCACCTGCAATTTTATGTGAAATATTGGTAGCTTTTTAAGTTGTTGGTGTTTCTTTTTGTGATAAATACCTGGGAGAAACAATATAAAAGATTGGTAATGGTTCATAGTTTCAGAGCTTCAGTCCAGCGTTGGCAGGATCCATGCCTTAGTCAGACCTGAGGCAGGGAAACACTGTGATGGTGTCCTGCAGCAGAGGCGGCTCTCACCTCTTGCCAGTGAGGAGGGAGGGAGAGGGAGGAATGAGCTGGGGCCAAAACACATCCTTCAGAGACATACAGAGGTGGGTTACTGGTCTCCTAGGCATTTTGCATCCAGTAAACTAGATATTCAAAATTAACCATACATATGGCCTTTGATGTCATCAAGAGTTTTAGGGTGAATCTGAAACAAAATTAATTGTAGAACTGAAAGCTACTTTTTGGTATTGAATGTTGCCACTGGGTAGGGCTAGATACTGCTTTTATTTTTGTTGTAATTTCAAGACTGTATGAAGAAAAGGCTATTTTTCAAATTAAAAATGTTTCTTTAAAAACATAGCAACTTTGCCTTTCATTTTGTTTGTTATTTTAAGTTACAGCATTTTTTCTTTTAGTTTAGCCACAATCATTAGTACCATTTCACAAATCAGTCTTTACAAATTATTTTCCTCTTTCCTACATAGTTTACGTATTTTTTTTACTTTATCATCTCTGGTTTTCACTTAGTGTTTTGCATGACGTCTCCCGTTTTATCCCTGCAGATAACCCCCATGTTCAGTACTCTGCAGTGACCAGCTTTGTGTTTCTCCGTTTCTTTGCTGTAGCGATACTGTCACCTCATACTTTTCATTTGCGACCTCATTATCCAGTAAGTGTTTGTGCCTCTTGAGCTTTATTCCATTTTTATTTTAGTAAAGTGAAGAAAAAATAAACCACTCATACTGCTGTGCTAAGATTTTTCACCAGTGATAAAATGCTGATGAGCAGGAGGGAGGTGTATCAGGGTTTCCCGCTGCTGTTCTGTACGTCTGATTTTCCATAATACAAGTGCTGTTGGTCCGTCCTTACAGGATGGTGGTAGTGGTTTCTAGTAGGGGTTTGGCTGGTTGTTAACAGACCCTTTCCTGGTTTATTATAAGTTTATTTTTTATTTTTATATTTTGAGACAGAATCTTATTACATAATCCAGATTACTTTCACTCACAACAGTATTCCTATTTTAGCCTTCAGAGTATAAGCACACCTGTTATACCCAATTTACCATAGTTTAGTCATGGGGATATTTTTAAATCTCAGAAATTTGAAAAATGAAACTCATTTCTAAACTATATAGGAACCTAACTTACTTGATACCTTCATATTTTTGCTTTCTGTTCACTTAAGTTATATCAAAATATAAGATTAAAATACTTTAAAGCATGTAGTTTATTTCTGAAGTTCTACTCAGTTACCTAAATTTAAATCTTCTTTGCATATATACTTTTAATATTGTAAAGTTTCTTTTTTTAATTTATTTCTATATCCTTCTCCATACAGCATATCTTAATCACTCCTTAGCTTTTTTTATTCTAAATACTTGATACTCTTAATGCTTTTAGCTGCTAATTTGTATAACAGATAATAAGAAACATTTAGTGATTACTTTGTACCAAGCTTTGTTTTAATCACTTTATATGTTTAACTCATTTAGGTCATCCTAGTCACTGTAGGAGTAAATTATTTTATTAACCCCTTGTACAGGTAAGGAAATCACCATGCAATACTTCTAGGCTCACATAACTAAGACAGTATGATTGGATCCTACCCAATTTGAACTGGATTTAAATGGGACTAGGTTTAGTCTCCACAGTCTGTAAGCAGGCTGGTGTGGAGACACTTACACAGCTGCTGTCACAGTGCTCAGTGCTGGAGATGCTGGAGCATCTTGACATTCCCTACCTTAATGTACTTACGGGCCATCAAGTACTGCACTGTAGGGAAGACATGTAGGCTTTGCAGCTGAACTGGATTCTAAATGCCCATGCCTCCCCTAGATAGCTTCACAGTGTTAGCTGAGTAGAGCCATGTAGCAATGGCAAAAAATAATATGTTCTGTGTAGCCCCTGTCCTTTTGTTCACGGGGCAATCTCTTCTGTGGCTGTGTTAACTAAAGCTTTAAAGATCTGAGGCAGTGGAAGCTTGCCAGCAATATAAATAGTACATAAACAGAACTCCCATTTCTAAACTTGTGTCTCTGCCTTGTTTTCAGATTGGAATTCCTAGATCAAATGTTGAAATAAAATCCCTCTAACCACAAACACTTTAGGTCACTTTTCATGCAGTTTTATTATTCCAGTTTTTCCATCTTTTCTTTTGGTCCCTTTTTGTTGTGTGCCCCTACCCCTGCCATCCCAGTATCTCCAGCAGGTCTTAAACCATAGCCCTTCATTTGAAAGAAATTTTAAAGTAGTGGGAATAAAGAAAACACATAACATTATTTAGTATTGGTGATGTAGGGATGAGCACAGCTACTTCTGTTAGTCTAGAACTACTTGTATAAATTAAAGCTAACACTTGATTAGAACCAAATAAAAAGTATGAGTAGATGCTACTGTACAAGCTGAGAATACAGAATGATCTCAGAGAACTGCGAGTGATGATAATATTGTCATGTATTGAAAGTTACAAAGTAATTCAGGATCAAACGTTACTAAATCTTATATATAGAAATTTTTTGAATATTAAGAAACTAATTATAGAAGCTAGTTTTAGAGTAAATAATAGTAGATTAAAGACAAGGAGCTAAATAATCATAGCAAGGACACTAGATATGAGCTGTTCTTGCTGAAAGACAGATTCAAGGAAGTATGTGTGTGCACATATATGCGTAAACAAATAACTATTTTTGAAAACACTACTTTTAAAATATGGAGGAGCTGGAGAGATGACTCAGAAGTTAAGAAAGCATACTGCTTTTGCAGAGAACCCAAATTCAGTTCCCAGCACCCATATCAGGCATTTCACAGCCACCCATAACTCCAGCTCTAAGGGGTCTAACCCCTGTTCTGAATTTGAGGCAACTGCACCTTGGTGTGCACATGCCCACACACATATACATATGCACATAAAAAATAAATTTTCTGTCTTAGGGTTTTTATTGCTAAAAAACTAACCATTGCTAAAAGACTAACCATGACCACAGCAACTCTTAAAAAGTAAAACATTTCATTGGAGTGGCTCACTTAGAGTTTTAGAGGTTCAGTCCATTATCATCATGATGGGGAGCATGGCGGTGTGCATGCAGATGTGGTGCTGGAGCTGAGAGTCCTACATCTTGACTCAGAGGCAACAGGAAGGCACTGACTGTCATACTGAGGGAAGCTTGAGCAAGAGAGACCTCAAAGCCCGCCCCCACAGTGACAGACTTTCTCCAACAAGGCCACACCTCCTAATAGTGCCACTCCCTTTGGGGTACATTTTCTTTCAAACCACCAGTCTTTAAACAATAAAATTTAAAAATATAAATAATGAGATGGACTAAGGGCTGAGACTGTAGTTCAGTGGTAAGGCATTTACCAAGCATCTGTGAGACTCCATATTGAATTTCTAGTACTGGCAGAAGAATGGAACAAAGGAAACCTTCACTTGAATTGCCTTGGCAATTGTTTTGTTTTCTTTTTAAAATACAGATTTTAGGAACATTGACTTGGTAAACCAGTGCTAAAGTTTCATAAAGGAAAAGCTGGACTATTTTCATTATGCATATCTCTCATTCTCTCTTTGATAACTCCTTTTAAGACCCTCCCAAGGCAGACCTTTTTAACCTGTTTGCTTTGTTTTCTGTCTCTCATATATATCTATAATACCCTGTGCACTCTCTCTGTCATGGCATTTTAAATTCTGTTCTAGTAACATCTGTGTATAACCTCTGAACATAGACTGCCAGTGTCTCAGGGGCAAGGCGGGACCTTTTCCAAAGCTCATGACAGTTTCTAGGACAGTCACATGCTCAGTGAGTGTTTAATTAATAAAGATGGTAGTTCAGAGAAGGAGCTCAAAGTTGAGTCTTTTTCTTAATGGGGAAACAGATTCATGATTTAAATATAGGGGAGAGGGTGAAGGCTTTGCTGCCTCCAGGTCAGACTCCCAGAGGATTCAGAAGAACATCTTTAGAAAAGGTAATGAACACAGAATAACTGCTCTTTTGAAAAATTACAGCAAACCTGTGACGTTATTTTTTTGTAGACCAAAGACAAGTCAGATGGTACCAGTTCCATAAATCGGCGTAAGAGGGGGGAAAAGGAGAATGTATGCTAAGTTATTTTGAATTGAAAAGTTCAGCATTGCAGTTGAATTTAATAAATATTACATAGTGTTTGCTGAGTGACAGTACCAAGTTGTATACTGGATGCCAGGTGATGAAGGCCCTAGGTACAGTAGACAGTGAAGGAAAATTTTATTATAATCTCTGTGTAAATGGTACCAGGGAATCAAAGCAGCTGAATGACATGATTGTACAACAGAAGCCATGGTTGTGTGGGTCTAAACAAGCTTGGAGTGGTCTGGAATTGAATAAAATGTGCATTGTTTCCTTTCGCTAGTTCAAGAAAAATAACCTAAACACTGAATTTAAAAATAAAAGCCAAATCTAAGCTGGGTGGTAGTGGTGCATGCCTTTAATCCCAGCACTTAGAAGACAGATGTAGTTGGATCTATGAGTTAGAGCCAGCATGGTCTACTCAAAAAAATCCTGTCTCAAAAAACCAAACCAAACAAACAAAATTAAATAGAAAATTCTTGTGAAATTTAATTCAAATTTAATTTTACCAAAACTTTAAAGAATGTTACGTAGTAGGGACCTCTTAGAGATAGGATGGAATCTTGGATGCTCCATCTAAAATATTTTTGGATAACTATAATTTATAACTTTTTCCAGATATATTATATTGATCATATACCAGATATTACTACTTCAGATTTCTTTATTTCTTGGTTGTCTCATCCCCACCACATTGATTGCCTATTTTCAATGTTGGGATACTAGAAACTAAAACAATATGTCTCCTTAACTAAATTTCCTAGATATGTCTTTTGATAATATAGTTTCCTGTGGTAGGATAGGTAGATAGATTATATAAAAATGGAGATTGGTAAGAGTTTATCAGGCTGTACACAGGGAAGCAGGTCAAGTCACTAAATTAAATGTAAATTATCCCTCGGTTTAAAAGGGAAAGGCGCACACACCACCTTAATCCTAGCACTCGGGAGGCAGGCGGACCTCTGAAGCTAGCCTGGTCTACAGAACAAGTTCCAGGATAGCCAGGGCTACACAGAGAAACCCTGTCTTTAAAAAAAGAAAGAAGGAAGGAAAGATGAGAGACTCATGGGAGAACTCTGTTCCTGTCCATTTTATTTATAACTACTTCTGACAGGTGGACAGACCTGAAAGACAGACAGCTTGTATAACAGACCCAAGTAGTTGCCTCTGGTAAGACCCTGTGTCAGTGAGGTGACTTCATTGCCTGCTCTGAGTTTGGATTTTCCCTCCACCCCATGGTGGAGACAGTTGATTGCAGAAGCCACTTGTGTTCTCCAATCTGCTTAGAAGTAGACCAAGCACAGAAAGTTGGAAACACCCATTTTAAGTTACATGGTAGAAAAAATAGATAGCTCTGATCTTATAGACCACACAAACCATTAGATACAATTGATTAAATTATGTCTTTCAAAGGGAACAAGTCAGGTCATTAAATCTTTAATATGTCTTTTTTGTTTGTTTGTTTGTTTGTTTTGTTTTGTTTTGTTTTTTAATGGTTCTGAGGATGGAATCTTAGGGCCTCTACTACTGAGCTGTACCCTCAGGCCTCGTTTTACTTTTTATTCTGAGACAAGGCAATCACATTAAGTTGCCTAGACTGGACTTCAATTCACTTTGTAACTTAAACAGGCCTGGAGCTTGCAGTCTTCCTGTCTGAGCCTCCCAAGTAGTTGGGATCACAGACCTACACCACCAGCTTCTTTAGTTTCTTAACCCCTAAGTTCTGTAAGTTATCCTAGGTTTAGCTACAGTTCAACTATCTTAGTTTGAATGAACATTTTTTAGCCACTGTTTTACAGCAATATAGTCCATTCACTTCATTTTGCTTTTTATATAAATTCTACTTCTTGAAAAATTAACAAGAATTTTGTTCATTTTTACATTTTATAGGATACACAGACAATTAGGACATTAACTCTTATCTCAAAAACCATACAGACTTTGGGAAACTGGGAAAGTCTATCCAGAAGAAAGGTGAGTCTATAATTTTTTTCTTCTTTTCATACTTAATAAATTTTATTATACTAAGATGCCTTCTTCACTTACCTCCTTCCATATTACAAATAAAGCTGAAGAGAATCCTTATTCAGTTGCAGTTGTTAGTAGATACTCTATTTAGTCAACTATTGAAGGAGACGGTGGTACTTAACCTGATATCCCAAAGTAAGGAGAGCAGTTAGGAAGAAAAGACACAGGCACAGTTGAGTTATCTGATGGTCTGTGCCATAGTCACCTAACAGCTTTGAAAGAAGTCTCCAGCTGCAAGCTGAATAACTCATGGAAATATGTGACTAGCTTGATCCTTAGCTTCAAAATATAATCCTGTCATTTCTTAGTGCTCTACTTCAGGGCTTCATAAACTTCTCCACTCATGAAGCCTTTTCACCCAAGAGGTGTTTATGCAACCTTATGTATACAGATATATAGAATTGGTACAACAAACCAAACATTTACTGAAATAACTTAGTTTAGCATTTTGAAATGCCCAGCACCCAGTGCTGAGGAGAATTTTCCTGTCATTTGCTTCTGTAGCTGCTATCCTGAGTTTTTACTTAGTTTGAGATCCAGGAAGAAAAAGGCATAAGAGTAACTACCATATTCACAGCTGTGTCACAGGCTTTGAGAGACATTCATTGCTCCTCAGTCCCTCTCTCATCAGGAGTGTTCAGCAAAGAGGAGAGAAGAGCCGTGTTCTGATTGATAGAGTAGCTATGGTCATTGGCTGTACAAAAGAATAGGCTTTGCTGGCACTCAGCCGCAGGCCCAGCATGAGATACCTTTGGTTATCTGCAGCTGGAAACAACAGAATTGAACCAAGCCTGGTCATGTTCAGGGAGGGACTGAGCAGGATGCACCACGTGCTGCGTGGGGAAGGCTAAAGACTGACCGCTAGTGCCTGCTAGCCATGACCCTGGAACAGTCTGGGTTCGTTGTCTTACTGGTGTGTGTGAGACAGAGGTTGTCCCTTGGTGGAAAGTGTTCTAGAAGTGCTCTGGACCAAGATCATGGATGTGAATGTGAAGGTTCTAGCCCTCCTGCTGCCCCACATGGAGCAAAGTTAAGGAAGCTCCACGGTCTGGTCTCCTATAGTTGCTTATGTGCCAATACCAAATCTGAGTCTGTCTACAGTACAGGTGGGATAGCACTGTGGGACCTCTGTAAATCCTTAGTTGCAGCGCTGGCACTGAAGGCATCCAGGTGAACTACTGTGAGTAATTAAGGCTGATTAGCCAAAAGGAGAAAACACTGCCACACTTGCTATCTGACATGAATGAAATCTGTGATCTCAGAGGTTTGGGGAACCTGAGGAATGTGTAGGGATTGTCCTTGTGCTCTCTGGGAGTGGCCTATATCAGCCATGGAACAATGTAGTGGCCAGCCTCTTCCCTACTCTGTGAAGAGAAGAGAGCAGAGTCAAGGTCCTCGGTGAAAACAGGGGAGTTGGTAGGAAATATGGAGGCGGGAAGCCTTATGGATCTTGCACAGCTTGCTCCTGGAAACCTAACTGGGATATGAAGAAATGACAGGTGCACACACAGAAAGGCTGAGATTGGGTGAGCTGTGTTTGATCTGATGGAGGGCACCTACTCACTAACCAGTAAACTAGATCTAACCTTCACTATGTAAAGCAGGGAAGGGGAGGGCGTAGCTAGTCTTCATGTGAGGTCTCTGTAGGGGAGCAGTCTCAGGCAGTAAACTTCTGGAGGAGGAAGTTATATTTGGTAGTTTCTGATTTTAGATAAAGGTCAATTACTCCTAAACACTAATACTTGGATCAAAAGAAGGTTTTACCATTTTCAGGGGTCTGAGGCACTAGGGTCTTTGACATGGCTGTGCCCTTGTCAATAATACACATTCACACAACTTCGTCTACTCCTCACAGTACAGTATGTTTTCAGTTCTAGGTTATGTAGGGAAACTTGCTGAAGAAAGATGTATACCATCTTTCATCTGTGATAAACATGTTTGGACACCTCTAATCTGGGCCCGTTCCTGTTTGCTAGTGACGTGGGAGCAGCCCCTGTGACCCAGAGGCCTCACCCTTACATTGTTGCCTTCCCTTCCCGTGTTTCTGTCCCTCGTCTCGAAAGGTTTTTATCTTTCCCTACCTGCTTTCTTCCTTTCCTGTGGAACTGGAAATTGCAAGGCTGGCCTGTAGCTCATTGGTAGAACCCTTAACTCTTATAAATCAGACCCTGGGTTCAGTCCCCACTTCTACTGGAAGTGTTTTGCCAAGAACTGCCACAAACATCACACCAAGCAACAGACCTTACAGGAGAGAGTGGGATGAGAGAAAGAGAGCAGGCCGTGATAGTGCAGGCTGGGGGAAGGGCATGGATATGAAGCATGGGCATAGTGGTGATGTGGAAATGTGTCACATTGGCCTTTAGTAATGATGTGCCACATTGGCCTTCAGTGATGACATGGTGTTGGCACTGAGTCATTAAAGGCAGGGAGGAACTTGGTTCTGGAATGTGGGCGGTTCCTGAAATTCCTCCCTTTTGTTTATTATAAAAGACAGGACATAGGGAGGGGTGCCTGGTGAGGAAAAAGTGAAGACACCAAACTCTTTAGACTGCTTCCTCTTGTCTGGGGGCATTGACATCTTTGGGGGCCCAAGAAAGCTGGAATGCTGGCCAAAGCTGGGAAGAACAAGTTGTTAACATGCTGTCCAGGCTCTACGGGGCCGTCTGGGCTGGGGAAGTGCGGGCTGCATTGGAGCAGTTTGTAGTCTTTAAACTGATTGGAAGTTTGCTGGCGTGCGCGCACGCGCGCACACACACACACACACACACACACACACACACACGATTAGGGACTGAAGGTAATATTAAGGAGTTGAGAGGGACTTTTTTTCTTAGGTTTACATTTGAAACTTGTAGGCCCATGGTCCTGATAGTTGAGGGAGGGGAGTTCCAAGACCAGGGAAAGTGGAGGAGATCCCACCCTCAAGAATAAGCAGAAGAGGCAAGTGGGGAGATGGGCAGTTTTGATTGGCAGTACTTATCTGGAGTCCATTTGGCCTTGAGAGGTGGATTCAAGTCAATTCCCTGAAACTTACAAGAACTTTTTTTTAAGTTCACAAAAAGAGATAAGTTAGATATGTTAGCATTACCATTCTTTATAATCTGTACTGAAATACACATTGTAGGAGCACCTTTGTGTCGTAGTAGAATCTTGGGGACCCAAAAATGATTCTGGGTTAAAAGCATTAACAGTGTTTCCAGAGGGCTGGATATGTAGATTGGATAGAGATGTTAATGTTAGGGTCCCGGAGAAGTACCACAAAAGACCGCCATCTGTATATAGTCATCAAGAGTGTTTTTATTCCAGCATGCTGGGGCCTGCCATCTCACACAAAGGCAAACGTCAAAGACCCCAAGAGGGATATATGGGCTCCTTTTAAGCATAGCCAAGGGGAGGTCCTAGAGCAGTTAAGTCATTTTAGATATGATTAGCTTAAGCAAGTGGCAGTCATATTAGTACATTTTAATTGGCTAGGGTTAGTCAGGGGCTGGTTTAGGCTATAGCTTTTTCATTTGGGGGCAGGCCTGGACAAGTGCCAGGCTCTGTCCTTGAGCTGCTTATGGAGGCTGGCTAGCCTAGTATGCACTGACTGTAGGGGCTGGCTCAGTGGCCTAGGCTTGATGCATCCTATCTCCTTGTCCCTGTGGTCAGGAGCACCAGTGATTAATTGTCCTTTTTTTGTGGCTCTCTCGGAAACTGTTTGCTCTGTCTCAGGAAGCTGAAATTGAAGCCTGATCTCTAAGAAAATTGAACAGCCTATTAGGGCGTCTGTTCAGTTCTCTCAGTTTTTAGCACGCTGAGCACTTGTAAGTCTATACTTAGAAAACAACCAAAACAAATTTAAAATCTTCAGCTTGTGACTATGATAGTAGTTGTCAGTGCTTACCAGAGTTAGATTAATAGCTTATCAGAACTCCATTGATTAATGTTAAACTCTGGATTTTTGAAGTCTTAATATAACAATAGCATAGAGAGGGAAAGAAATCGGAAAGTTTTTATTTTCACATATAGAAATCTGAAACATTTTTCATTTTTACATATACCTTAAGTCACTTTCTACACCTTTATAAATTGAATTTACACACCTTAAAACACTTTTAGACCTTTATAACTTGCATTTACATATCTTAAAACACTTTTTTAGACCCTTACAACTTACTTTAGCTTCCATATCTTCTTATATAAACTATACACTTTTTTTCTATCCAGTCATTTACCATGAGACATAGGTGGTTGATTACCGAGAACAGAACAGTCATTGTAAAGCAAGTTCCTTTAAATGAAGGAATAGTAAAAAGTTATATTGAAATCTGTTTTGTGAGCTTATCTCTTTTCAGAATCTGGTAGCAAGGTAAACTGTGTCTAGACCTAGTAGTAGCTCTAGGAAAGCGAGGCCTGAGGCCTGATTTTCACATATAAAGAGAACTGAGAAGGCAGCTGAAGCCTTGGTTGCTGCTGCTAAACTGACAAACACCATCAGGTTTGAGAAGGATAAATTTCACCAGATTAAGCAGGAAGTACAAGCAGTTCCCAAAGTTATTAAAAATGACAGAGACTTGCTGGCTACCTGGACAATCACCCTAGGTTCCTCTGTGGTAATCTTGATTCCACTGCGGGCAGAGGTCCCAGGGTAGTGTCAGTCTTAGGCTTCCAGGCCCAGAAGATCTAGCAGACTTGCCTATGGAGGAGGAATTTGGGCGACTGGCCTAGCTTGTCTAGGCAAGCAGGACAGTCAGCTCTCCAGCATCCATTGTTGGACAGGAGTCTGGCAGCGGGAATGGTGAAGGGTAGTTTTTCACCCTGTGGCCAGTTTTGCC